GGGGTATATCAGAGTGTTACAGTGAGGGGTGTGGGGTCTATCAGTGTGTTACAGTGAGGGGTGTGGGGTATATCAGAGTGTTACAGTGAGGGGTGTGGGCTTTACTGAAATATCCAAGCTTCAAGTATTCAAATAGCTTGAATGGAGTCTGTTTGCTGGGCTCATGGTTGGACACACTTGACTTAAGTGACTTTGAAGCAGTGATTAAATAGTAATAATGGACAAGCAGGAATACTCCTGGTGGTAAGTGGGGGAAGGCTGGCCTTGATTAAAAGGCGCAACCTATGCCTCCCATTGTGTGATCCACTATCATCTTTAGTTACAACCTGACAAACTCCCACTTATGTCTTATTGGTTCATTAATAAAGAGCATTAAATAGCCTGAATAAATCTTTGAGTAGTTACAATAATGTCTCTTCTTTTCATTTTACAAAGGAAATGTCAGCATTGATTATACAAGCTACTACCTGGGTCTGTGGGATTGTACGAGTGAAGAACCTGATGAATTGTCATTTAAACGAGGAGATCTGATTCATGTCCTGAGCAAAGTAAGGCAACAAACCAATCATTTACTGCAGTTGTGATGTGTGAAGCTTTTAGCTTGCTCAGAATCTAAGCCTTGTTAAGCTGACAGTCTGAACATGATGTGCACAGTTCGGCTCAATGGCTGTGCATTTGGCTGTGTGTTGGCAGATTAAGGTTTGAGGTCCCCACTCCACAGCTTGAGCCCAGGCTAAGCCTCCAGTGCAATACAGATGGAGTACCACCACTGTCAGAGGTGCCATTTCTCAGATAAGCCAATAAAACAAGACCCCATCTCCTTTCTGAGGTGGATGTAATAAATCTGAGAACACAATATCAATGAAGAGCCAGGACAGTTATACTCATTGTCCTGGTCAATAATTATTCCTCATTCCAACTCCAAACAGATTGTTTGGTCATGCTTCGCATTGCTGTTCCTGGGATCTTTCTGTGCACAAATTATCTTCCAACAATATAAGAGTGACTACATTTCAAAGGTGATCCCATTGCCTGGGCCATGTGCTATTTGGGATGTTACTGGGCTGTGACACGTGCTATGGGAATGCACATCCTTCTGTTTTTGTGCAGTGATCAGTCGGAGGGCCATGGACTTCCAATAACAGCCGCTCCCTTGCCCCCGTGCTGCTCGTCATTGTGAATCCTAGCACCGTGTGACCTTCACATGCACAGTTAGACTTCCCTCCCTCTGAGCTTATGGCTATCGGGTCCCAGGGAGTAAGAGAAGGTCGTTCTGACCCTCGAGCTTGTTCTGCCTTCCTGGCTGACCTGGCTGATAAGAGGGTGGTGAGTGTAGGGTTGGAGGTTGGGTTGGGTGAGGAGGAGTGGAGAACAGTTGGAGGATGTGCATCTGGAGCGTGTGCTGGGGGGATGATTTTGAAAATGAACCAAAGCCAAATGGGGAAACATTTTTGATTCTGTGTTCTTTTAAAGCCATGTTGAGCGAGTCAATGACTTTGCTAAGCTGCAGCACTGTGGGTTCAGTTTCTAACGCTGCCACAATAGCCAATTTCTCTGGTCATAGTCATAGAGTCATACAGCACGGAAACAGACCCTTCGGTCCAACCAGTCCATGCCAACCATGTTCCCACAGTAAATTATGCGGTTGGCTCATATCCCTAGTGTCTGGAGCGTCCTCAATGACATTGTTCACCCTGAAGTACAACTCAAGGCTGTGTTCTCCTGGAGTTTAGGAGAAAGAGAGGTGACCTTATTGAAACGTATAAGATACTTAGGGGGCTTGACAGGGTAGGTACTGAGAGGTTGTCTCTCTCAGTGGGAGAGTCTAGGAACAGAGGGCATCATCTCAGAATGAAGGGTCGCCAAATTTAAAACTGAGATGAGGAGGAATTTATTTCTCTTAGAGGAGAGTGACTGTGGAATGCTTTACCACAGAGGTCTATTGAGGCTGAGTTGTTAAGTGCATTCCAGGCTGAGATAAACAGATTTACAACCAGTAAGGGAATGAAGGGTAATGTGGATAAAGCAGGAAACTGGAGTCGAAGGTTATCAGATCAGCCATGATCTCATTGAATGGTGGAACAAGCTCGATAGGCTGAATGGCCTACTCCTGCTCCCACGCCTTGTGGTCCTATCCATCTCTCCAACAATGTATAATCCAATGGATGGAAAACTGCTGCAAACACTATTCCTGCTGTTGGTGTGTTTGCCCTCTCCGACTCTCCTGAACACTCCCATGCCCAAGGGAAAGGATGCCATCACAGAACCTAGTAGCCTTGTTATGTGCCATTTGCTTTCTGTTTAATGTCTCAGCAGCCATCCTTGATCTGGGGTTCAAGACTTGCCTAGAGATCACAGTACAGCATTACTAATGACAGTGTCCTCACAGTGAGATTATTAAGAAGTAATTAGCAATGTAGTACAGTAGCGAGATATCCTCCTGCTGTATAAGTACAGCTTTAATGCAGCCAATGAAGAAATGATGTATGGAAGCAAATGTTTGTTAAATTATCTACTTAAGTATCAGACAGAGAGAGAAAATCCATTCTCTCTTTCTCTGTCCCTGGACTGATTCAACCACAATACCAAACCCCTGAAGGCTGTGAATAATCTCTTGATGAGAGCTGGTGATTTTACTGTCTCAAGTGATTATTCACCAGTTCAACTTCAGGTCACCTGTGCCACACAAAGGCTTGAATTGATTGGTCCATTAGCCTGTGACAGAAGTCTGGCGAAGGAGATACACCATCGTGATTGGTGAGTTTGAGCAAGTACTTGTGTTTCTAACCCGTACAAGGGAGCCTGACACCGACAATGTATCACATCGAGCATTCTGAAACACAGCAGTTATTTCTTGATCATTATGCATTAGGAGTGTGTGTCTCTCTTTCTCCCTCTCTCTCTGTATAGCCCATTCTCTGGGAGTTATACAGAGACGTTATAGCTAAAAGGCTTGATTGTGGATTCTGCCTGGGTGTATGTACATAGAGACAGAGCCTTATCAGCAATTTGTGCTCTATCAAACGAAGGGTCTGATGTATTGGCGAGTTACTGTGCAACATTAGGCACCAACATACATTTTGCACTGCAAATAATCTCCTAATTTTCAGCCAATGAGCTGAGAGAAAAAAAATCCATGACCTGCATCTGAGACATCTCATCAGTTAATAAGACTTTGCAAAGATGGGACCTTAGATTTTTAGTATCCTTTTGTGGTTGTGTTTGGTGCAAATGTCACACTCAGAGGAGGCAGGAGGAGTCGGGTGATGGCAATGGGGAGAGGTCATCAGAATTCCAGAGGGAAGTGGGTAAACAGGAGAGTACAAGCCTTAGAGAAGTGAGCACCTCCAGGGGGAGGTGAGCAGAACATTGGAAAAACTCCCTGTCACTTGTCCAATGATATTCCCTTCAATGAGTGATTGAAGGCTGGTCAAGCTCAGTGCTGAAGCTGGTGAAAGATTTGGCAGAGTCAGCGAGAGTCTCCTCTCCTAAATAATGAAAGCACAGCCTTAAAGTCGGAGCCTCACTGTTCAGGACTTGAGAAGCAGTTCTTCAGAAAAAATCTGGCTGAAAATCTGGAGCCCACTCTTCTCAAAACAAAATTGTTGAACCTTGGTGCTGCTGGGGGTCGGGTGGGACTGGAGTTGAGATACAGACCAGTCATGGTCCAATGGAAAGGTGGCAGAACAGACTTGAGGGGCTGACTGGGAGAAGGGGATGTGGAAGAGGTTTTTTCAATGTAGGGAGGAAACTGTACAAGGAATTCAGGGGCTCCAATTTGATGCATAACATCTTGTTGGTGGTACCCTGTGAATGAGACAGAGGGAATTCAGAGTCGTGTGATTTTGTAGGAGAAGTGAGAGGGGAGAGGGCATCAGACCCTCGTAAGTAGTGAATATAGATTTTAGAAAAATTCTGAGTCATGGCTCTGGCACTGGGATTTGAAAAGTCCTGGGAATCGATGTGACAGCGGAATGTGTCGCTGGAGGCTTGCTTCTTCATTAAACAGCACCGTCCTTATGGCGAGGTAAATCCAAATCCAGTGAAAGAATCTGTTTCTAAACACTTGTCCAATCTGCATTCTGGCCATATGTAAAAACAGCACTGACCTGTAGGAGGCACTGTGAATGTAGGAACAGGAGGAGTCCATTCAGCCCCAAATGCTGGTTCCTGTCTGCCACTCTAGTGATGAGAATTGGCAGCAACACACAGGATGGGTGGCCAGTTCTGGATGGGTACATTTCTGCCATTGGCCACCCAGTTCCTATCTGGGGCAGGACCCCTGACTTCCGATAGCCAAGAGGAAAGAAAAGTTTGCCTTTCACATTCTCAGGTTATCCCACCGCACCTTCTCCCAGAGAGGTCACGTTGGAGAGTAGCTGCTGCTGCAAAAGTTGGATTTGTCAGGTTGTGCACAGCAAGTTCTCACAGCCAGCAACCTGATAATGACCAGGCTGTCTGTTCAGCGATGCTGATTGGGATGTAAATATTGACTGGGATATTGGGAACAACTCCCCTGATCATCTTCAACATATATATTCAGCCAATCAGGCAGGATGAACCTGTGTCTCATATCTCACCACACCTCTGACTGTGTGACACCCCCTCAGCACTGTACTGCTCAAGCCTCTGGGGGTAGTGCTTGAACTCACAACTCTTTCACTCCGAGGTGTGAGGTGCTGTCTTACTGAAAGTTATCCCAGAGTCAGTTTCAGGGCACTCCAGGACAATCTTTCAGGGTTGGGAACTCAAAACAGGGAACAACTTCAGACGCTGAAGTCTATGTCCAAATGCAACAAAATCTGGACAATATCCAGGCTTGGGATGGAGTGTGGCAAGTAACATTCATGCCAGGCAATGACCATCTCCAGCAAGAGATACTCTAACAGTCATCTTTTGACATTCAATGGTGTTACCATCACTGAATCCCCCACTGTCAACATCCTGGGGGTTACCATTGACCAGAAACTCAGTTGGACTAGTTACACAAGTGCCAGTCACAGACTGGGAATCCTGCGACGAGTAACTTACCTCTTGACTCCCCAAAGCCTGTCCATCATCTACAAGGCACAAGGCAGGAGTGTGATGGAATACTCCCCACTTGCCTGGATGAGTGCAGCCCCAACAACACTCAAGAAGCTTGACACCATCAAGGACAAAGCAGCCCACTTGATTGGCACCACATCCATAAACATCCACTCCCTCTGCCACTAACACTCAGTAGCAGCAGTGTTTACTATTTCCAAGATGCACTGCAGAAATTCATCAAAGATCCTCAAACAGCACTTTCCAAACCCATGACCACTTCCATCTAGAAGGACAAGGGCAGCAGATACATGGGAACACCACCACCTCCAAGTTCCCCTCCAAGCCACTCACTGTCCTGACTTGGAAATATATCACCGTTCCTTCATTGTCACTGGGTCAAAATCCTGGAATTCCCTCCCTAATGGCATTGTGGGTCAACCCACAGCAGGTGGACTGCCCTCACCACCACCTTCTCAAGGGCAATAGGGACGGGCAATAAATGCTGGCCCAGGCAGTGAAT